GCTGCCCGCGCCGCCGGCAGCGGCAGGCGCTCGGCTGGCGAAGGGGAGCGCTCGCCTGACCCCCGGCTTGCTCCTGTCCTGTCGCGGAGGTGGCTGACGGCTGTCGAGGCTGATCCATCGGGCTCGGTTTGTGATGCTCGGTTCTTCCCCTTCCCGGCTCTCCCTCTCCCCGAGTCCGGTGTCTGCACAGTGCAGTATGGAGGCTCGTGTTTCCAATTTCTTCTTCTTTGCCTAATCTGAAGGTGCTTTATTGCTTTAATTTTAAAATAATTACGGGATGTCTTTTATATTGATCTATTTACTGACTTGTGTTCGTTGGCAACTAACACATCAAGTTAACTGTTCTTGATGGGCAATATATTTCTGGCAGATTTTTTTCATTGGAAAAGACTTGGGGGGGGACAGACACACGCGTAAAATAACTCTTCCGTGACTACGTGTCTTCGTTTCGATGGCAAAATGTGTGTCTATACATCTTAAATGACAAATCTGTTACTTTCTAAAAAGATGTTTAAGAGATTGTTTTGAATGTGACTTACTAAAATTTGTTGACATAAATGTATTTCACAGCAGGATAATAACTATAGTTATTAGTTCCAGTGTATTTCAGAGCATTCTCGTGGGGATATAAATTATCTGCAAAGTTAATTCACTTCTGATTATAATTGGCAGAATATGGCACAGCTTTATAAAACCAAACAGCAAGTAACATATTTGTCATAATTCAGTTTGTAGGTTGTCATAAGATGCCAAAAAGCATAACACTGTACAGATGACAGAGAGCAGTATTTTTTCAGATTATATGTTTTTCAGGATGGTTTTGTTTCGTATTATACATTGACCTTTGTAAGTTTTACTTTGATTTGGCTGGAAGTTCACTTTGCAAGCAGAGCTGAAGTTTGAGATCAGTTCTTACTACGTAAAGAGCTGCATGAGTATAGCTTAAAGTATTTCGGGAGGGTACCCTGACAGTGTTGATACAGTACGGAAATCATGTGTCAGAAGATAGCTGAATTTAACACTGCTTGAAAATACTGTGCTTTTTTTTAACTAAGGAAAGAATAAAGGAGGAAGGATCACTAAACTGTAAAGCAGTTTCTTATGGAATTCTTTCAGAAAAATTATTCATATTCAACCTGCACTGAAAGCTGAAACTTTTTTTTAAAGCTTAATTTAGAAATGGTAAAAAGCAACAGAGACAAGTTCCAGGCACTGGAATTGATAGGAGAGTCTCAGGGGGAGTTATGCATCTTCCTTGTGTGCTTGTTATCATCCAGGCGCAACTTTGAATTGTCTGCATCACAGAACAGTATCAGGACTCCTTGCAGGAGCTCTGATTACATCAGAGATGCACTGCAGAATTCAAAATACTGCAGAGGACACTGGCGGGGGAAACGACACTTGCAGTGGAATTTTAGCATGTTACTCATGATTTCTATTTCTTTCCCTCAGAAGGGCATCTTTAATAATTCTTTCCCCACTGCCTAGGAGTCTGGCACCCTTCCTGAATTTCGGCTGAAAGTAAGGGCAGTACAGATTTCTAATTCGATTTCTTCACCAGACATAATGGATAAGAATACCATCTTGTGCAAGACAGATCTCTGAAAAGATGTTAGATCTTGCATCACATGCACACAACACCATTTAGAGTCACCAAGAGCCCTTGCTATGGGCCAGTTATTCCGTATTACCGTAGTTTCTAGAAGTCAGAACAACGATCAGGATTGTATAATGTAGTAAGAGACAGTTCTTGCCCCAGTAAGCTTACAAACAAAATGGGAAACAATGCTCAGAGAGAATTGATTAGCCCAGGATGAGATCACATTATCAACAGGGGAGCTGGGAAGATGAACTGGACTTCACTAACTCCCAGGTATTCAGAGGGCAGAATACAATCTCAGACAAGGAGGGATGTTACCATCGGCCCTCACTTAACAGAGCAGTTTTATTTGAGGATTTTACTGCTACAGCATGTCCTTAAAGTTCATCTTGTTTAATTGTTTGGAAAATTGTTGATATAGGCTAATGTGTTTGTCTGACCTTACATTCCAGTGTGTTGTCTTTAATCCTTAATGCATTTCTTATAGCCATTCCCGACGTCATCAGCCTGCAATGTATGAGTAAACCAGTTTGCTTGGTTTTTAAGATGAACAGAAACAAGCCCCTTCCCTTAATTAGATCTCTCCCATCTTTAAGTAGTACTGACCATCATTCTGTAGAAGCACCTCCCAAAGGAAAACATACAGAGAAATGTATGGGTTTATTCTTCTCCTTCCTTCATTCCTTCAAGTCAGGCCATCTTTTCTATTGTCCTTTATTTCCTCCTATTCTTCCCCCTTAGGTAGGATGCTATGGGTATCTGAGGCAGAGAACATGTAAATAACACATGTACTATAACTGCCTACCTGGGATCTGTAGGCTTGTCAGTTCTGGTTATGGAAAAAGAAGGAGCCACCTTCTATAACTGCAATCATTCAGTGGGATTAATTTGTCCAATTTATTGTCTTGCACAGGTTGAGAAGCTGGAAGTGAAGAAAGAAATACTTTTTTCTTTGCTCTATTGTTTCACAGTTGATGCCTCAGGGTTACAGCATGTGTTTGACACACGCAGAACATTTACATTTCCCTCCCCATTTCTTCCCATTGTGTCAACAATGGATGCAGTGGGAGATCAAACCAGTGACAGAGATGAGCTGCCTCCTCATTATTCCTGGCTGAGATTCAGAGGCTAAGTTGTTGCTAACCAACATCATCTGGTATTACAGAAGGGAAAACGGTTAACAGCTCCCATTTATCCATAGTCTTATATCACTCATAATCTTTATTATCTTTGGGCCAGCCCTGCCTTAGACATAGTTGATGAGGAGGGGAAAACACAGTAAAAATAACAGTTGCTCTAAGAAAAGGAGCCCTACATAAACATAAATCAGGTAGCCCTGTTTTCCCACAAAAAAACAATAGCTTGAACTCCCAGTGGCTTTAGTTCTACCGATGGTATCTTGGGAATGCTTTAACAGAAGACCAGCTCTGAGGTCATTAGGAGCACTTCATGTGATGGGACTGTATGTCAGGCTAATTCAAGTTCAGCTCTTCTGTACTTCCTCTGTTCCACATGCTCTAGCTAGAACTATCTGTGTCAGCTATCACTCTCCTCAGATCCCTTCATTTATCAGAGTCCTGCAGCTTTTCCAGTGGGCAATGGCAGAGTGCCATCATCTGTCACAAAGCTCCACTGATAATCCCAGTATTGCCTAGAATTTCCTAGAATGTAACTTTTTAATACAATTACATTTTGTGTTAATGTTCTTTCTGAAAAAAAAAAAACCAACACTTCAGGTCAGCAGGCTTTCACTCAGTCTTTCTTGAAGCAAGAGACAAACTGAAATCGATTGGAAGTATATTTAAGTGCAGGCCTGTGGGGTTTTGTCATTGTTTGCACCCACTGTTACTCTGAGAGGAGTTTCAGAATTGCCCATCCCCTGCTGTGGGGATTTCCAGAGTTGTAACTCTGGAGCAAAGACAGAGAAACTCAGCAATACAAGCAAGTATGTAGTGCGAAGGCACTGAAAGCTAAACACAGTTAAGATTTTGGCATGGAGAACAGGTTACTTGCCAAATAGCTGTTCTCAAGTCACTAGCAATAGTAATAGAGATCCCACTCTGTGATAGAAGCAAGATGACAAAGCTTACCTCTTCCCTTACCTCAGGCCAGAAAATAGTACCACAGCTCTTGGAAGAACTGAATCACCCCTTGTCCATTCTTGTATATATACACCTGTAGGCTTGCTTTGTCCACATGCCCTAAAGGTAAGTAAATTAATGATTTCCTTTCGTACTAAAGAGGATTACAGGTGAGGAATCAGGAAGCATGCCTCCATCCAAAGCTCACCTGGGGCCACCTCCTTCTAAGACTGTGTAAGGAACTGCTCTGTTCCAAGTAATCCCTCTGGGAAGTTTAGGAGCAGGGCTGAGATAGTACTTTATTGAAAGCAGCATTGTAAGTCTCCTTGCAGTAGGGAAAGCCTCTTGCTCTTAAACTGAAGTGCAGCTGTGTTTTGAGTACTTTGCTGTTGTGTATTTATGGGTTTTTATTCTATAATAGGTATGTAACACTATTGATGTGGTTTATAAACCCCAGCGTCTGAAAACGACTGTTCTGTGTTTAAGGAAGTCACCCTAGCAGGGTATATATCCCCAGGGTGCCTGTCAAAGGGGAGGTAAGTACAGCCAGGAAAGGAGAAAAACTGTGTACTGCTACTGAAACCAATCAGGTGTCATATTTATTACTTTCCTGTAGGCTAGAAAGTCAGAATACTTGTGCATAATTAATATCTAGTTATTGTACAATCTACTTAATAAATAAATACTCTTATCAAATGAAACTCAGCAACGCCACATGTTAAGCTGTAGCTGACTGTACAGATGAAAGATCTAGAAGCGGTACTGTGCAACTCTCCTGTGTATGAGCAGACTTTCAGTCTGACTTTTCAAACGTAGGGAGTTAGGGAGGCAAAAAGTTCAACATTTCCAGTTTCTGCTTTTTATACCCATTCAAACTCTGTTGTCGCTTCATTCCATGGAATCTGTTGTGTGAGCAGAATTTGAACATGATTTTCAAAGTCACCATAAGAATTTTTCGGTTTCCTGTAATCAGAGGTTAGGGCAGTCACCTTGGCTCTCATCTACTGTTCAATCCATTGTAGGGACAAAGACCTATTACTGCATATACGGCGTCAGTTATAACTGAAATAATATTCCAATGTTTGTGTAGAAATCTTGTATTTCTTTGCAATCTTTTGTAAACAAGGCCTTATAGAGGGAGTTGGCCTGTCATTAAACATATATATATGCAAACATTTTATGTGATCAGTATAAGTGGCCTTTTTTTCCCCAAATTGTTTCCATATGGCCTTTTAGAAATTAGTCTTGTACTAACTGTTTTTCAGAAGTGTGTATTTACTGATTTTTTACTGAATTACCACATAATTGACCTCTGTTTCTTTCTATATACTTCATGGGTACTAAAATACTTAAGATTTTTATGTGTAATAGTTAAATAAAAATATACTATTTCCTTTTCTACAAAACACACTTAAATTCTGTGTTCTTATGTGATACTGTCATAAATTCTGTACTTTTATTCTGAAACAGGAATATTCTGCCACATGCAGGAATTATTCCTGGTTTCCCTCTATACCCACTGAGCACTGAGACCTCTGTATCTGAGACAGGAGAAGCCCCCAGTGTGACAAATATTCCAAGCAGAGCAGTCCTTGACAGAGTCAGTTCTACCCAGCTGGACAAACCCAGCCTCACCAGGAAAGTCTTCTGATCATACTCAGCCACTGCTGTTTTCTATCCCATTGTTTTTATCAGCCATAAATATTTCTGAGCTCCAATCACTACATTTGTTCCAAACTTGAAAACAACCTCTCATTCACTCACCCCATATATCTGTTTTTTGTTCCAGAAGACACTTGCAGAAGTAGTGAAGTGATGTGAAGTTATCTTCCAAGATGACTCTTCTACCTGGAGAAAATTCCGACTATGACTATAGTGCCCTGAGCTGTACTTCAGATACTTCCTTCAACCACACATTCTTTCCAGAAACAGAAACCCTTAAGGGAGTCTTTTACCAAAGAGCCAAGCTAATTCACCCTCAAGAGGATCTCCTGAAAGGCTTTCACCCTGATGATCGGAAGCATCACATTATTATAAACGTAGGGGGCATTAAGTATTTGCTCCCATGGACCACACTTGATGAATTCCCATTGACACGTTTGGGACAACTGAAATTCTGTAATAATTTTGATGACATTCTAAACATCTGTGATGATTACGATGTGACATGTAATGAATTCTTTTTTGACCGCAACCCAGGGGCGTTCAGGACAATCCTGACCTTTTTGCGGGTTGGAAAACTTCGGCTCTTGCGTGAGATGTGTGCACTGTCTTTCCAAGAGGAACTGCTCTACTGGGGAATTGAGGAAGACAACTTGGACTGGTGTTGTAAACGGAGATATCTGCAAAAAATGGAGGAGTTTACGGAAATAAATGAACGGGAGGATGACCTCATAGAGAATGAAACAACAGGTGAAACAGTAGAGGAGACAAAAATTGGCTTGTGCATGAAAAAGTTGCAAGACATGGTGGAAAGGCCCCAGTCTGGCCTTCCTGGAAAGGTGTTTGCTTGTTTGTCTGTTTTATTTGTAACTATTACAGCAGTGAACTTATCCATCAGCACCATGCCTGACCTGAGGGAGGAGGAGGAAAAGGTAAGTTAGCTGTTCAGGATGGAAAGTGGTATGTGCTGGGAAGAGCAGAACAAGTACAAGGTCTGATGGTGTTGATTTCGATGGGGATTTTGCAGCTGTCTTTAGAGGGGGTGCAATAACACAAATAATATTTGAAATCTTACATGACTGTGTTCAATTACTTGTAAGAATTAATCATATCAAGCTTTATGTCCAAAGAAAATTTTGTTAGCGTGCACTCTTCTGTACAACTGTATATTACCTTGTTAAGCTTTGTATTTGCTGTTTAGACAGCCTGAAATTACTGAGCAATATCTTCTGTGGAATAAGTAGCTCCTTTCTAAGTTTTGCATTTAACTTGTTCCAATTTGTCAATGTGTTTCCCCATAGCAACAGCTTCAGTTCCTTTAATATTTTGGGTTTAAAAAAAAAAACAACACAGAAACCTCTCTTCCTGTCACCGTACCAACTAAAATAGTTATTATCCAGTGCCGATTACAAACTCCTCCTCTTTCCTGCAGGGTGAGTGTTCCCAGATGTGCTACAATATTTTCATTGTGGAGTCTGTCTGTGTGGCATGGTTTTCCCTGGAGTTCCTGCTAAGATTCATCCAGGCAAAGAGCAAGTTTGCATTTTTGCGGAGACCGTTAACCCTGATAGACATAATAGCCATTCTGCCATACTACATCACTTTGCTAGTAGACACCACTTCCGTGGGCTATAAAAAGCCCAGCTCTGGGAGCATCTACCTGGACAAAGTAGGTCTGGTCCTCCGCATTCTCCGTGCCTTGAGGATTCTCTACGTCATGCGGCTGGCCAGGCACTCCCTGGGGCTGCAGACACTGGGGCTCACCGCCCGCAGGTGCACCCGGGAGTTTGGTCTCTTGCTGCTCTTCCTCTGCGTGGCCATCGCACTGTTTGCACCACTCCTTTATGTCATTGAGAACGAGATGGCGGACTCGCAGGAGTTTACCAGCATCCCTGCGTGCTACTGGTGGGCTGTCATCACCATGACCACGGTAGGCTACGGAGATATGGTTCCCAGGAGCATTCCCGGCCAAGTGGTGGCACTGAGCAGCATACTGAGTGGCATCCTCCTCATGGCATTTCCAGTCACCTCCATCTTCCACACTTTTTCACGCTCCTACATTGAGCTAAAGCAAGAACAGGAAAGAATAATGTACAGGAGAGCACAGTTCTTATTAAAAACAAAGTCTCAGATAAGCAATGCATCACAAGGGAGTGATATTTTATTCCCCAGTATCTCTTCTGAGACTAGGGACAATGAATGAAATTTAAGTTACTATTTCTCCTGATGTCAAGTAATGTTTTGTTGTATCAGATTCCATCTTTTAATTTGCTTTGGAAGCATTTTACAAAGGTAACCCTCATATTAAAATCAAGAAAAGGAGCTATTAACCAGAAATTGATATGGTTTAAGAAGTCTATTATTATGCTGTTTCTTGACTACTGTGAAAAAATTGCATGCCTACTGAACTTGATAGTTCTTTTAGCTATAAGAAAGCATGACCATTGTGTAGCACAGAACCTTTTCTCAGTTGTGGAAGGGATGAGAAAACCCATCGACATTTGTGTTCACAGTTCAAATGTTACAAATACTGGGACTGGTTTGGTTTTGTCTTAAATTTATGTACAGGAATTATGCTTTCTGGTTGATTTGTAATAATTTATTTTCCAGGATCTGGTAATTTACCCTGGAAGTCTGTTCCCCCACATTAGTTAAGTGTTCCACTATAAATAGTTGATATTTTGTTAGGTAGGGATAAATAAACAAATCTATTAATGAAGTCTTTTAATATCAAAATAATCTATTAAAAAAGCTACATTTATTACCTGTGTGCTTTTAACTTATTGCTTAGGACAGTTTCATGTCAGACAAATCAACCAAGAGCGCATGAAAATGTTTATAGGATTATATATAATGCTTATAGAATGTAATAATGTGGTACTTACATTCCTGTAAAAGTTAAATATTATACACAAGTTTTTAAGTTCTTCATAACTAGGCTGCTGGTAGATATAAATTCTTTCAGTTTTTGGCAATGTGGTTTGATCTTTGGGATGAATCTGGTGTAAATAGCTGTCAAGAAGGAGGTCAAGAAGTTCTCATGTCCTGCTGTATCATCACCGTAGACAGAACCTTCTCTAGTCAGTTATTGAACATTGTGGAAAACTCTCCTGTACATTTTAATGCCTTTCCAAAGCCACACTTAATGAATCAGATTCTTCTTTCCTCCGGCCCATTTGTTAATGACCTAACCAAGCTGCAGGATTGTGTCTTCTCCATGAATGTTTTCAATTGTATTTTTCCAATGGTCAGATAAGAACTCTGTGTTAATGGTTTGCCCTAACAGGTTTAAAGACCTGGATGAGCAATAGCATCCATTCTGCTAGATGAAGGAAAAGCGAACCAAATATAAAACTTTCCTCTTCCTTTTCATTTTAGGTTGGTGGAACAGGGTGTGATATGTAGCTTCTGTTCTGTAACCGATGTGGAC